TCACAAGGTCAGACTAACATAGAGCTTACAGCATATTCCACGACGAGAAGGGAAATATCACGTAGCTGCTGACATTCCCACCATGTTGTTTAAGACAGTTCACTACCTTGACTACAACAACAACAAAACGCCTCTGCCCCAAACAAGTTGCAGTCTGCTATATGAATCATCACTTCTCCATTTAAGCTCAATCTCAAGTCAGTATCATACCAAATAAAATAAAAGCGAAAAAATAAGTTAAATATATATAAATAACACTTCACGACATTGACTACGACTACAACTCAATTCCAAACAAGTTGTCATCAGCTATGTGAATCCTCACTTCTCCATTTTAGCTCGATCGCATGTCAGTACTATACCAAATAAAAAGAAATGTGAAAAAATAAGTTAAATATATATAAATAACAATTCACTACATTGACAACTACTACAACTCTAACTACGCCTCAATCCCAAACATGTTGGGTCGGCCATATGAATCATCACTTCTCCATTTTAGCTCAATCTCATGTCATCATTATACCAAATAAAACTAAAAGTGAAAATTTAAGTTAAATATAATATAAAAATAGTTCACTTCACCAGATTGACTATACTGGGTAATACACCTATAAGGAAAACATGAAACAAAATCGAAATTAAATCCGCCATATACAAAGGCACGGAAATCAAATTAAACGCAATTAAATTGATTTTGATAAGTAATGAAAAGGAAAATTGGAAAAAATTCGATACCTTCCATGATCTCTGGCCAATTTCTCCAGGGTTTTCCTGAAACCCCTATTGTCAATTAACTCAAAATTCGAACCCCAATTGGCGGAGAATGCGAGATTAAGCTGCCCTTGTGTGCATCTGTACAGAGAATAAAATTGCTACATACAAACACAAATGTACAGAGAGAAAATAAATTTTATATGCATAATTCTAATTTGACATATTAATACTTAACAAGATACATTTTCAGAAGTAAAAAAAAATTCTTGAGCCAAATAAAGGAGAAGAAAATAAGAACTGAAGAAATTTGCTAGTAGTATTTATTGTTTGCTTCTTCGGTTGAGTGCTTAGTAATCAACACGGATGTATATATTAAACTGTGAATTTTTTTTTTAAAACTCGAAGAATTTCCCCACGAAAAAAATTAATTATTTACATTAATGTTTGCCCTGGTGGTCATGACGCTAGGTTCAAGTCTTGAAATAAATAAAATAAAAATTAATATATTTTTTTAGAGTGAATTTTAGCGATGTGAATCTAAATTAGTCAGGTTGTAATAGGAATATCAAACATCAAACGAGAAATACACAAACATCTATATCTATTGGTTGCAATTTTGCATTTCTTACAAATAGACAACAACAACAACAATAACAATAATAATAACCCAGTAAAATTTCATTAGTGGAGTCGGGAGGGTAGTGTGTACACATACTTTATCCCTACTCCGAAGAAGTAGAGAGACTGTTTCCGAAAGACCCTCGGTTCAAGAAAATAAAAAGCCAAAAAGAGACAATATTAGTATCACCACATAAATCATAAGAAAATTAGGGAAAACGTGAAATTCAGAAGAAAGATGCAAAGCAAAAGCGATAGCTAGTAAATAGGTCCTGCACTGAAAAGCGAAATAATAAGACACAACATTGCTACTAGCTATCTTAGATAAAAATCCTACCAGACTAGTCTCACAAAGGTACGAAGTAAGGAAACTCGACTACCACCTAACCTACAACCCTAATACTCGACCTCCACATCTTCCTATCAAGTGTTATGTCCTCGGAAATCTGAAGTCTCGCCTTATCCTGCCTGATCACATCTCCCAAATGCTTCTTAGGTCGCCCTCTATCTCTTCTTGTGCCCTCCACAGCCTCCTTACCGGAGCATTTAGGCTTCTCCTCTGGACATGCCGGAACCATCTGAGTCTCGCTTCCCGCATCTTGTCATCAATGGGAGTCACGTGCATCTTCTCCCAAATTTATTTCTTACAAATAAAATTTGTGCTTATTCAGCTCTTATAAAATGAAGACATATCAAAAAGTGAGATTAAGTTAAATTTTCCTATTCTATTTGTGTTTTAAATAACACAAGTGGCTCAAAATGTTAATTTGATTGTGTCATTAACTAAGTTCATTAATATAAAATTATTTCTCAATTATATATGCCGACTGGAACCTTACCCAATTGAGTAAAATAACTTTTTTTGTTTCAAGACAAGCTGGTGAAAATGACCTATCAACCACTATAAAAATCAGTTGGCTTTTTGTAGTCTATTACAAATATTATTTTGAAATTTGGTTTATCTTTTCATTTTGTAGTCTGTTGCTAATATTATTTTAATTATGTGACCATTTTACTAGAGATTAATAAAAATAATACATAAGAGGTCTATAAATTTATTTTCTTTCTATTCAAATGGTAAGTGGGATGATGAGATCATTTTATCCACATGAAATATGCATACAAACTGACACCAACTTCTTCTAGAGTAGCTTTTGTACAAAATGCAATTCAAAGAATATGCATAATAAATTCAAGTAACAGTATTATTGAGTTCATTACTCAAAAGGTTACTTAACTGTCTCAAATTATCTGTTAAAGTCACTTTTCTTCGTTTGTAACAACAAAGTCACTTAACTATGCCTATAGCACTCAGAAGGTCACTCAACTAGATTTTTCAAATTTTGAATTGCCAAATACCTATTTTACCCTCTAAATTATCAATTTTTTAAAACTTTTTTAAATATTATATTTTTTTTTCTTTTAATCTACATTTTGGACTTACCTATAGAATAAATATATTTTATTTATAAAATAAAAATTAAAAAAGTAGTTTTCATCTCGTATAATGATGGAACAATAATATAATTGAGCATAATTTTCAAGAATATATAATGTCTATATAAAAATACCGTTATTTAAATAATTATTTTTATATTACATGGAATATATATTTTACAACCTTTATTTTCTTTCATTCTCAATTATGTAAATTAATTTTTGAATTTTTGTTGTTAATAATAAAATTATTATTACGAACAAATTAATCTAATTAATATTTTTTACTATGCTCATTATTTTATTATTCTAGCATTATATATGCTTAATTAATTTTTATTTTTTTAATTTATAAATAAAATTTATTTATTATATAGGTATGTACATAATATAAATTAAAAGGGAAAAAATCATAATATTAAAAAGTTTAAAAAAAAAAAGATAAATTTTTATAATTTAGAGGGGAAAATAGGTATTTGGCATTCCAAAATTTGAAAAGTTTAGTTGAGTGGCCTTCTAAGTGTTATACGCATAGTTAAGTGACGTTATTGTTACAAACGAAAGAAAAGTGACTTTAGAAGATAATTTGGGATAGTTGAGTGACCATTTGAGTAATGGACTCTAGAATTATTTTACGGGTTGAAGTTATATAGGAGACGGTCATTCTACCTTTACAAAGTAGGAACTACCTTCCTCAAATCTCACTTATGAACATTGAGTATGTTATTGTTGTTGTAAAATTATTTTCCGAGATTTGTAATTTCCCCTTCTTTATATAGTAATCCGTCTGTTATTTATTATGATATACTTCTATTTAATCAGTTAAAAAAATAATATTTTTTGTTTAAAAATAAGTATATTATAAACTTCTTATTTTATCCTTAAAAAATAACTTATATCCAAAATAAAATTTATGACTTATTTTAATTTATATATTTAAAAGGCGAAATGACTTCCTAGCCACTTAAACTTGTCGAGTTTTTTAAAGCCGATATATAAACTTATAACTTTCTCATTTGAACACTCGAACTCGTTTTTTCCATAACTAATAAACACATCTGATCATTGACCATGTGAGCGTGTATTACACATACACATACGTGTCCATCCAGTCAGCAAATGACCAATGGATGTCTTACACGTAAGGGCGCGAAAAGTCAAGCAGCAACTCCTTCTCTTTGACTGCTTTAGCGTTCTTCTTCATCAACCATTTCAAGCTAATTCCAACACCCCTAGCAACAGAAGAACGCCTATCTCTGCTCTCTTTTCTTCCCTTCACCACACAACACTCCACTTGATCAATTTTCTTCCTCAATCAAAAGCCGAGGTTGCTGTTTGGAGGTTTGTCGTGGTTCAGTTTCATAATTTTCTAAATGTTTTAGTTCAATGAATCTATTTCTATACAAAAGCAGAAGCCAACCTTACTTGGAATTTCAGAGAGAATCTGAAGGCCCTCCTTATTGAAACTTGAAATCCCCCAGAATCTCTTCTTCTATGCATAATGTTAAGGTCCTTCATTAGACATTTTTAACTAACTGAAGTTCTCATTTACAGGTACTCCTGCAATGACATCAAGGGGATTGGTTGAGAAGGACTTCGAGCAGATTGCCGAGTTCCTCCACAGGGCTGTTACCATCACCTTGAACATCCAGAAGGAGTACGGAAAGCTTTTGAAGGATTTCAATCAACGAACTTGAAAGTTATGGGGAAGTTCAAAACTTAGCTTCAACTCTACAATGATAAAATATACAACTTTCCACCATTTTCACGGTCTGAAAAAATGAAAAAAAATTGGAAATGGAGCTTCAGATTTAAAAAAATGGAGGAAGGGGTATTTTGTATTGTTGGGCGTTGGGAAGAGGGTTTTCTCGCTCCTGTGCGTCGTGTTCCTCACGCGGGCTGCTGATTAGGACCAACTGACGCCACATAAGCATAGTCAATGGTCAAATGTGTTTATTAGTTATGGAAAAAACGGGTTCAAGTGTTCAGATGAGAAAGTTATAAGTTTATGTATCGGCTTTAAAAAACCCGGCAAATTTAAGTGGCCAGAAAGCCATTTCGCCTATTTAAAAAGTCTTACTCCCTCCATCTCAATTTATCTGACAATTTAAGAAAGAAACAAAAATTCTTTAAACTTGTAATAATGTAAAATAAATCTTAGTTAATTATGTGACTACAAAATGGAAAATCCTACACATCAATTTTCTAAAAATACCATCATCAAAACAATAGAAAGGAAAACTCACATACGTTTTCCTCTCTCTTATTTTGCAAGCAAAGAAACTTAACGAGGAAGCTGCATTTCTGGTCACTAAAACTTCCATATTTAGCTAACCCTCCCCTTTCGTACAAAATCAAAAGCACGACGTACAACTAAACAGAAAAATGGATGCAAAGATCGGAAAATTCTTTGAATCGATCGGCGATTTCTTTACCGGCGGAGATCAAATTCCGTGGTGCGACTCTGATATAGTCGCTGTAAGTCTCATGACGATTTTCTTATTTTCAAATTTATTTAATTTTATTGATAGATTTGACCGCTTTTCTGTGTTGGATTATTGATTATTTGTGCATTTGATCCTTCCTTATATGATTTGAAGTACTTTATATGATTCAGGAACTCGTGGAGTGTAATTGAGTTTAAAATCTACTGGTCGTTGTTACCTGGTATTGTTTTCCGTATAGACAAGCTTAGCCAATGCCAAGTGTCGAGCTTAGGGATGAAAATCGGATTAAACGTACTTATTAAAAAAGGATTAAATGGTGAAATTTGTTTTTTTTTCTTAATCTGATAGTTGTATGATGTGAAATAATACATTTGAAATATTTTTTTTTGTTCTTGTGTAAAAACGTCTGAATAGAGAGAATTTATGCGGACAAATCGAGAGGCGGATTCAAATTTTATGGGTTCAACCTCTAAATTTTTTAGTATTGAACCAATTATATTGTTAAAGTTATGGGTCCATATCTGCTATTTATTTCTATTTTAGATCATTTTTACTTATAAATTTATGATCTACGTCAAAAGTACTATGTTCAATTGAACCGGCACCGCTACGCTGGATCCGCCCCCGGAGGAATCATAGAGTTGACTCTAACTAGTTTGGATTAAAGTGCAGTTTTTCTGGTTATTGTTCTTATCTAGAAATGAAGTTATGTGGTATGTTGTTATATGCTGGTTTTTGAGTACTTGTTCTTATTAGAGATGACTGAATAGAGCAGCATTGATATGGGTGATTTATATAGTGTATACCAATTAGTTTGGCGGCGTAATTAATTGATTGATTGTTCTTATTTAGAAGTAAAGTTTATGAGTCACGTTGTTCAATGCTTGATGTGTTTTCTATTTATGGTGGGAAACAAAGAATTTTCTTTATGAAAGATCCCAAGACCAAGAGTTAAAACATGTAGAATAGTTCGAAGATCCTAATTCAGTTTTCTAATTTCCACAGTGGTAACTTTGAAACTAAAATTTAAGTGGCGAAAGGATATCTACCCTCATTGCCACCTCAATCAATCAACCATGTCTCAACCCTAACCTAGTTGGGGTCGGATATATCAATCATCTATATTCAGTTCTACTTTAAATTTATAATCTTTCGGTCCACTTCATTCCATAACAGTAAGTAATTTCTCATGTATTTTATTTTATTTGGAGAAGGAGAGCATGCAGTTTATTTAGATACTTTTTCATTGGGTATCTTTGAAGTCAACATTAACTTTAGGTGATTTGGTTATTTTTTGCTAAATAGAAACGCGGGCAAAGGTGTTTAACATAGGACTCTCTTCATTTTATCGCAGTTCTAATTATATCTTAGAAACTTTGATGCTTAAATTGATTGGAAACATATACTGATTGAGATCCCCAATTGAAGTTTGGTTGTTGGATAGAAGTAGTACTACTTATAAATGGCATTTAAAGGTTGAATACTTATTAATGGTCTTTTAACACTGATATAGTCAATTAAAGTTGAGGTTTAACAAAATATTCAGCCAATTATCTTGGCTCCGTTATATAGAAAGCACATTATGGTACATGACTTTAATGGTTTTATTATGATAGTTATTTTTTATTTCAGTTCCTTTTTATGCATGTTTGAAACCCAACCATATGAGTAAACAGTCTGGTTTAACTGGCAGTTCCTTTGATATACAGGGTTGTGAACGCGAAGTGGCAGAGGCAGAAAAAGGTTCATCTGATGAGCTTAAAAGTGAATGCATTATGCGTTTGTCTTGGGCTCTTGTTCACTCAAAAAGGCCTGAAGATGTACAGCGTGGGATAGCAATGCTTGAAGGTCAGTGTAGTAGAGCTATTCATTTCGTTCTTCCTTCCTTTTCTTTTAGCTGGACTTTTGACACAGCTATTCATGCTGCATCATTCATTCCCTCACCCTGACATTTCCTTGCCCTGGACTTTGAGCTTCTCCATTTCCCTAGTTTATATTTCTTTTTTCCGCTTACTCCCTTTTACCTTCTCCTTTTGCTTTTGCATTAGGCGAAGGAGAGAACCATATTCTCTGACTTATATATTATCATTTGTAGCTTCTTTGGGTGGCAGTAGCAGTCCCCTGCAAATGAGAGAAAAGCTTTATCTTCTGGCTGTTGGGTACTATAGAAGCGGGGACTATCCAAGGAGCAGGCAGCTTGTTGATCGTTCTTTGGAGGTTTGATCTTTGTTCTTACCTTTACTTCACCCTTGACATTAATGCTGAGGTCTTTATCTCCAGGCTGTGAAGTTTGCATTATTTCTGAAAATTAAAGTTTTCTTCAGCCCATCTTTAGTAAAATTGCATACTCGAACTGCATCCATGCAACTCTGAAGCTCTGTTATTTCAACCGACTAGGTCTCACACCTACACAAGTTATTTTATTTTTGGGATGGCAGTTTATCATTTCTCTCGAATCTGTTTTAAGCCTGCATCCTAATTAGTCGTTTTGCGAATCTACAGATTGCACCGGATTGGAGGCAAGCCTTGACACTCAAGAAAACAATTGAAGAAAAAATTACCAAAGGTAGCAATTGGAATTCTCATTTGTCACTTTTTATCGTGTATCGTTTCAGTTGATGAATATTACTATACATTTCGCTGTGTTTGAAACAGATGGAGTTATTGGCATTGGCATTGCTGCTACTGCTGTTGGAGTTTTGGTTGGTGGAATTGCAGCTGCTTTGGCCCGCAAGAATTGACTTGCCATAAACCACTATTGTGCATAATGAACTCGCCCCTTTCCATTTGGTCCTTATTTGAAGCACATGAATTCCAATTTGTGTGCGTAAAATTTTGAAACTTTTCTTTGAATGATAGAAACAATAACATGTACAACTGAAGCAAGAAGGGATTTCATTTTTCTAATTTATATGTAGTTTATAAATTTGTCATCAAAAAGCATAGATATTCAGACTCGTTTTGGTTGTCTATCATCTTATATTGATAGACTTATTAATCCAGTAAATCATTTTACACCAGATTGAGGAAAAGAATTTGTCATTTATTACAGTATACTCCCTCCGTTTCAATTTATGTGAACCCATTTGATTGGGCACGGAGTTTAAGAAAAAAAAGAAGACTTTTGATCTTGTGGTGTAAAATGAGGCACATATATTTTGTGTGGCTATAAATTATTGTGTAAAGGTAAATTGTTTCCAAATAAGGAAAGAGGTCATTCTTTTTGATACGGACTGAAAAGGAAATAAGTTTACATAAATTGAAACGAAGGGAATATAATATAATAGTTCACATCGCTGGATGCCCAGGCACTCATTGTGTTTAACCCAAGCATTGTATTCTTACATAGGAAACAAGTATTAACATACTAATAAATTGACCGTGCATCCTTTGGTATGAAGGATAAGGGATAATTAATTTTGGGATTAAATTGAGATGATGTTTATCCTATGTTTGGTTGGGATAAAATCCTGGTATAACATATTCCGGGATTGTAGTGTTTTTTTATCCCTATGAGAGAGTGAAATAACTAATTCCAGCATAACTAATGTCAGGATAATTAATTATGGGATAATTTGTTTCCCAATCGAACGACCCCTTACAATTCTAGGTAATTGGCAGTCGGCAGATGAGCACCCGCAACTTTAAAATCCCGAGCCTTGCTTTCAATCTTAATCCTCCGTTATTGTAACATACAACTAACCTGTATTCTCATAAATATTAAGAACTGATGGGAAAATATTTATAAGAAGGGCGGGAGAACACTAGCTAGTAAAAATATTATTTACTAGAATTGTAACAACCTGACTCTGTGGCCCAATGGATAAGGCGCTGGTCTACGAAACCAGAGATTCTGGGTTCGATCCCCAGCAGAGTCGCAACGATTTACTTTTTTATTTAAATTTTTGCCAAGTTTTCAATTTTCCGTAGAAAGAAGACATTGTTTCTGTACATATACAAGAATGTAGAGATATCTATATCTATCTATATCTATATATTATATTAAAAGCACGAAGGCCCTTAGCGAAATGTCGTTCGCCTTTCTTATCCTTTAAAAATAAAGCTTATAATAGATAAAAACGGTCATTTAGTTAATCATCTAATATTTAAGACTTTAAAATCAATTAAAATTTTAATTATTAAATCTTTTCGTATTAGGACTTTAAAATCTATGAAGATTTTTTGCTTTATATAAATTCTTTCTTTATTTAAATTGTATAACATAACTATAATACCTACATATTACCCGATCTTTTCTCTTTTCATGATATTACGGGTAACTAATATATACAACTCCACATTATCTAGGGAAAAATGCTAATTTTAGAGGTTCTTAGTTAAATGTTTCTCTCCGGTGCCAACCAAAGAATTTTCATTCGTCATATCTTTTTACTTTATAGGCAGCTGGCCTTTGTAGCATCGATAATATTTTACTTCTAAACTTTTGAATCCCAAAACATTAAAATTTAAAATAGTTCATCAATTTGTTAACAATATTGAGAAGGATAATAAGATATCTATAACAATATACAATTCAACATAACTTTTCAAGTAAAACTATTATCTATCTGTACTATATTAAAAGCACGAATGTCCTTAGCGAAATATCATTTGCCTATTTTAACCTTTAAAAATAGATTTCACACAAGACAAAATTGTCATTTTTTTTAAAATTTTTAGGACTTTAAAATCAACTAAGTTTTGTTTAATAAACTCTTCTTTATTTAAACTATGTAAGAAGTCATAATGTTTAAAACTCTAAAATCGATCCAAAATTTACCACTTCAATTCGAATAAATACATAAAAAAGAGCACTAACATTATGCAATTTACCTTTCATATATAAATCATATTGAATAATGGAATAGTCATTAAGTAATACTTAATGCTTGTATGATCAAATAAGGAAGCAAATATAAATATGATAGCAATATATATCATATAGTAGTTCAAAAATAAAGAAACACTGGCATAATAATAAGAATAATGAACATAATCCAAAGGAATCAAATTAACAATAAAATTCTGACTATTTAACACAGCTAAATATGAAATAGAATATTCACTTTTATATGTTTGTTTTCCTATTTATAATTCAAGAACCCTAAGACACAGGCATCGATTTTTTATTCTTTAAATAGACTCTTAGTTGATAAAATAATTATTACAGTTAAATATTAAAAAAAATTGAATCATAAGAAAAAATTATTTCCTTTAATAGTAATAATAAATAATTAAATCTTTAAAATACCATATTAGAAAAAGAATCTAATTCTATTAATTTCAGTATTAAGACTCAAATTTGGTAAAAGTGCTAGATAAGGATAAAAAAAAAGTGGAAAACAAAACGTATTCTAAATAAGTTTTTATTAATTATATATTTTTTTTATTACAAAATTTTAGCTTAACATTAGTTATTTTTGTACTTTATATTGTCATTTATCAATTGTTTTCATGAGTCATAGGACCAACCTCTTTCTTTCCCAAATCTCTAAAAGATAAAAAGATTTTTTCAATTTATGTTTTTGAAATCTATAAAAAAAAATAAGAATAAATTATAGCTAACCATGTTTGTGTCCTCTCGAATAAACTTGAGAATAGTTTTCTGAAAATGTTTTCAAAGAAATTCTAAAATCTCTAAGTTATTTGTTTTTGCTGAATCTAAAAAGGGAGCATAATAACTTGTGAAATTGAATATATTGGATGATGACTGAGAACTTTTATGGGCTATAATTTCTTTTATTTATTGAGTTAGCTATATAATATAGACTTTCATCAATTTCAGGAATTTATACCTTTTTATAACATAAACACATTTTTAATATAATTTTTATACAATATTTTTTTAGGAAAAATTCTCATTGAGATAGGATGCACGCGCAACGCGCGTACTCTAAAAACTAGTTATTATAAAAGCACGAATAACTTATGTTAAATGTTGAACGACAAATATATCCCTGAAATATTAACGAACTTATATGCCCTCAATATTGAATATTTCTCCAAAAGGAATTATTTCATATTGGATAGAATTGTAATAACTTGATATATACGATGCCTACTAGGATTCATATTCTTCAATGAATTTATTTACTAATAGGATTCATATTCTTCAATGAATTTATTTACTAATAGGATTCATATTTTCACAAATCACATGCTTATAAGACGTATTTAGTATCATTGTCAAAGTAATTGTATTAGATTATTTTTATCCCTTCCGTCACTTTATCGTTCCTGTCGTAGGATCACTACCACGCCGGCGTAAATCCGGCGACCTCTCACCGGATACAGGTAAGTCCCCCCCTCTGGTTCTCTATATCTTTCTCTTCTCATCCCTTTCTTCTCTCTCTTCCTCCATCCCCTCCTCTCCCTCTTCTAAACTGGTCAGATCTGCCCCTACTTCCCGTCTCTTTCTCCTTTCTCTGTTTCTTCAGTTACCTCACTTCTAAGGTAAGCACATCAATAGTTCACACATTTTCACAACATTAAATCTCAAGAAAGTTACATCTGTTGTAGAATATTGTAAGAACTTTTAATTTCTCCTCTTTTTGGCTGTTTTTTTAAATCTCTGTATGTATATAAATCTTGGGTTTCTTCCAATTTTTGTTTAATTTTGAAAAGAAGGTGCGGCCTATTTTAAAAGACTGTTTTTTTCCCTTTTCTTCCATTTTGTTCAAGATTCTTTGAATTTGTTAAAGCTCCAATGTATTCAATCCTTATCCTTTTTTTTTTCAAGAATCGAATTGGGGTATCTGTTAAAACAACCAATGATTTGATTTTTATTTATTTATTCTTTTCATTGTGTGCAATTAAATTTCTGTTCCTTACCGTCCATATACTGTATAAACATTGTGTCTGTTGAAGCGTAGCTTCATTTCCCTTATTATTGTCAGGGCTACACCAGTGGTAGCGGTGATAACCCTTTTTGGTTTTTGGATTGGGGTATTTGCTGTGTTTTTCAGGGAAATTCTCCAAGTTGTTAGAGACAAGTTGGGCCCACGAGCACTAACAAAGAAGAGCAACATGGACGAGCATCAGCAAAGAGCGGTGGGTAGCGGTGAGTTAGCGTGCAACTACATCGAGTACAACAATTCAACACAAGTTTGGTCCTCGGGACTTGGTACCTCCCGTTATACTGTTCCCCCTTTGGTGTTAGCTAAATTGTTATTACTTTAGTTCGCAATAGTTCGATCATTCAACTAGTGTACTTGCAGTTACGTGTTTCCTCTAGTTTGACTCGTTGTTCGCTGAGCACTAGCGACTATTCTTTAGATTTGTCGTAGGAGTAGTGGCTGCAGTCGGGAATGATAGATTAAGGGCATGTCCGCGGGTGGGGCAGAGTGGGGGGTCGGGTTTAGGGAGTGGGACGGGTGGCAGGGGAGGTATGGGGTCAAAGGAGCATATAGGTTGAGAATCGGGACATGGAACATAGGTTCGCTAACGAGTAAGTCTATAGAGTTGGCGAAGATCCTTCAGAAGAGGAAGATTAATATAGCGTGTGTCCAGGAGACTAGGTGGGTCAGAACGAGGGCGGTAAACGCAGATGGGTATAAGTTGTGGTACTCTGGACTCATAAGAATGGAGTGGGGATCCTGGTTGATATCCATCTTAGAGAGTCGGTGGTAGAGGTCAGGCGGGTGAATGATAGACTAATGACTATTAAATTGGTGGTGGGTGAGTGTACTTTAAATGTTGTTAGTGCGTACGCGCCGCAAGTAGGCTTGGATGAGGAGATTAAAAGGCGCTTTTGGGAGGGGTTGGACGACATCGTTCGTAGTATTCCGCCTTCCGAGAGGTTATTCATAGAAGGAGATTTTAATGGTCATATTGGGTCGTCTGCAGGTGGTTATACTGAGGTACATGGCGGCTTTGGTTTCGGGGAGCGAAATGGAGGGGGTACTTTGTTGTTGGACTTTGCCAAGGCATTCGATCTAGCGATTGCGAACTCAAGTTTT